ACTTTGGTGGGGTAAAAAGAACCAACTGAACCTTTACCCTGTCAATAAAATAAATAGTAAAATATAGTAAATTAAGTTAATTTTACAAGAAATAAATTAAATAAATAGTTATTTCAACTTTGCTGATGTATATTTTTGACAAAATACCAGATCAAGGTTATATACAGTGTTATCTCTGTAAAAAATGTACCCATGAAACTTATAATTTGCATTTGTTGAATAATGTAGCTATTTTTTAAAATCCTTTTAAATTAAAATTAACACATTATACCTGTTTGCCTAGATGTCCCATTTTACCCCTCCTACGGGGTAAAAAGGACCAGGTGACAAATTTTTGAAAGAAACCCGTTTTTTAAATAATAAATCAATTATCTGGGAGTTTTACTGAACATAGTCAGATAGTTGTTTGTTTCATATATGTAATTTGTTGTAATATTTAATTGGTTTTCATAATATAATTGCCCAAAGTCAAAATGGACCTTTGTGCCCCGCTTTACACTATGCATATTACAATATTAAACATAACATATGTATTACTGAAGTGTTAGGAAATAAATTCCAAAAATATACGAAAATGCAAAACAAGAAATAAAAATAGAAAATTGTTTTTGTTTCTTTAGGCAATTGTTTTGTGTTTGAGAATTTTATGAAATTATTTATTTTGTAGCATTTAATTAAAATGAATTGGAAATACATTCATTTATTATTAAATTTATTTAAAATAATCATGTAAATAATTCTGAAAGATTTAAGTAAAAGTAATATATTATACATTTATATATAAAAACTAAAAATAATCACAAGCAAAAAAATTATATTATTTATTTTATTGCATTTATTAAAAATGGTCCTATACTTTATTAAAATTTTTGGCAATATGCAATATAAAAACTAATTCAGAATAATATTCAATATAAAAACGCAATCAGAAATACATAAAGATTCCTATGAGCTAAATTGACAACATTTAAGAACGATGCCTAAGAAAAAAAATAATGAAAGCACTAATTTTTATGATGATAAATAAAAAAATAAATTTAAACGATAATAATAATAATCTGACTTCCATTGCAATTTTTATCTATAGAAAGCAATGGCATAAAATTACAAGTTCAGACAAGATTTGAAAGAACTAAACCGTAGAAAACAAGAAATAGTATAAAATATGTCACGCCTGTTACTAACCAGGTAATATTAGTTGATATTGTAAAAAATTTGATGAAAATAAGAACTTAGAATGATTATAATTATTTATAGAATATTAGCAACAATAATATTTTTCATATTTGTTTAAATGAAAATTTTGAACATTGTCTGAATATATTTTGAAAGCAAAAGTAGAAAAAATATATCAAAATAAATTTAATACTAAAAAGTTGAAGATTTGATAGCAAGAATAAATAAAATAAAAAAATGATAAATTCATTTTAGATAAGATAAAGATATTTTATTTTACTTGTTTCATTTGTACCTATTTATTATTATATTTTATTTTACTAAAAATTTTGATTTATTACAATGAGCAAAACAGATATAAATGTATATAAACTTTTGTTAATAAATTCAGAAAAATTATTTAAAAAAGAAACATTTTTATTGTTGCCTAACAATAAGTGAAGATTGTTAATAAAATAAATTTGAAAAAAAAAATATAATTTTGAAAATATTAATTGTGAAATTTTACTAAAATTACAAAAAAAAAATATAATATTCTATAATATAATAAAAAATTGCCGAAAATGTATATAAATGTGGAAAATTCTAATAAAAAAATAATCAGTTGCAAATTATTGCAAATGTGCTGCATTTTTCTTTAATATTGAAATTATTAAGTTTAGAAGTATTCTTTAAAATAAAATAGTAAACTATTTTTGTAAAGATGGCTACAATATTACAGATGTATTATAAATAAAAATTATATATTCGAGTATAAACAATAATATAACTTATAATATTAGTAATAAGTTAGTAAAAATAATTGTTTTCTACGTAATATACTCGAACTGACGCATAATTATATTATTAAATTTTTTTAGATAGAAAAATTAATAAAATCTAATAATCATCTTAAAAAATATCGTAGAATAAATAAATAATTTAATTTATTTTTAACTCTGATCAAACTTCATTGCTTTTTAATATTCGAATTAAATTGTTGACTCTGAAAATCTGGGCAAGATTGCATCATAAAATATATTGGCATAAGTAATTCTATTAACTCAACGGCTCTAATAAAATTAGATAAATTATGCGAGCAAAATATCTAATTTAACATAACAACAATATTATTATATTGAATTATGACTTTGTCGATAAATGATTCATTGCAATAATAGCTTATTTGCTAAAATTGGAAGTTGGAATCATCATCAAAAAACCTAACACAGATATTTGGACTTATGAAACTTATACACTTCTGAAACTGATGAAATAAATATAATTTAAAACTATAAGCATAAATTTTTCAAAAAAAAAAAAAACATAAATTTCGAAAAATAAATTCCTACAATTTAAACTTTTTTATATTGCATTAAACATAATCAAAAATAAAATAATACTATTGAAATTTATTTTATCTTTTGAGCTAAAATAAAAAAATAGAAATGCCGGTACTAAAAAGATGCCATTTTAAATAAATTGTAATTTGCAGAAAATTATTCAAATAGTTGAACAATTCTAAATACTAATATGCTTTCTGATTATTTAATCTAATGTAGAAGTATAAAAAATGCCGGTATGGAAAAATTATTGAAATTTGTTCTCACAAACTTATCAGAAATAAAACAATAAATAAATCAAATAATTTGAAACATATTACTAAATATTTCATCGCTGATCTACTAAAAAGATTAAAGCAAAGGTATATATCATGTTTCCAGATTTTTTGCAAAAACTGCAAAATATTAAATTATTGAATTTCTTACTAAAATATATTTATTTTTAGTGTTTAGAATATTCTACTGATTATTATTGAATTTAGATACTTTTTGAATTAATTTGCAACTTTCAAGTATACATACAGATAAGAATAACAAAAGTTGCATCACATTCTGCAGAAATTTCCAATATATCAAAAATGGTGAATCAGACCAAAGATACAATTGTATACATAGTTTATTCAATTATTGGTAATTAAATTGTGAATTATTATATAATATCAATTTATTTCAGATTTTTGTGCTTCAATTTATTTTAGAAGAAATGCATCAGAAAATAATGTGATAGTTACTATCACAGGTAGAAATGAAAATAATTTTTTTGCAAAAACTGCAAACAATTTAATTAATGATTTTCTTACAGAAATGTAGTTATTTTAGGCGTTTAGAATATTCTATTGATTATTATCGAATTTAGAACCTTTTTGTAATAATTTGTAACTTTCAAGTATACATACAGATAAGAATAACAAAAATTTCATCACATTCTGCAGAAATTTTAAATATATCAAAAATGGTAAATCAGACCAAAGATAAAAATTTTAGCTATTAGAATATTTCACTGATGATTATTAGATATAAAGTACTTTTTGTAATAATTTGCAACTTGAGTATACATGAAGGTAAGAATAACAAAAATTGCATCACATTCTGCAGAAATTTATTATATCAAAAATGGCGAACCGGCTCACAGATAAAAATGGTTACATAGTTTATTTAAATTTTCGTGATTAAATTGTGAAAAATTATATTTTTTCGGAATTTTGTATTTTATTACATTCAAGTAAATAGGCATCACAAAATCTCAAAGAAGTTCTGACCGCTGTTAATAAAAAAATTAAATACAAAAAAAAATCAAGAAAATATATTCAAGAATGCACAAACAAGTTATAGACACAATGTATGAAATATTATGGAAATTTTGTAATTTTTAGACATTTTTACAAAAATTTGTTTTTGGGGTTTTCGTGTATAAATTGTTTGACCAGGTACATAATTATATAATAGGATTAAAATGATAATGTTAAGAAGTGTTTACATACTTCATTATAACAAGTTCAGCCACACGAGAACAAATAGGTATTATGAAATGAAGGATTAAGACCAGCACTCGACTACCTGAAAATGTGGAATTTTTGTCTTTTTCTCAAGACTTCATTTTCAAAATCATCATTGTACCATTTTGTTTGTCTTCAATAGTATATTGTTAGATTTTTTGGTCAATATAACTCACGTTCTGAACTTACAGTACACAAATGCCGACGGTAAAAAACAGAATTTAATGTCTAAAATTTCTACTTAAAAATAATTTTGAAGACAAATTATAAAATTTTACCACTGCCAAAAAAAATATTTTTTGGAACACATAAAATGTTGACGCAGTAAATAACAAAATGAACATGAACAAATAATAATATTTTTACAAAATTTTATTTTCATTCATAATTCATTGAACTGACTTACTGCATTAGCATATGTGTATTTTTAAAAGCCATACAGGTAAAAATAGGTATCCTCACTAATAATGAAAACACTGATAATACTCTCTTAAAGAGACTTCACTTTGAACAAAATTTGTGATGCGATAATAAAATTTCACAGGATAAATTAAATCCTTTGAATATACATTTTCTGAATGTACACACAAAGTAATTAAAACTAAAAATAACCACAAGCAAAAATAATTAAAAAACAAAAAAATTGAAAAAAAAATCTGCATATACTCTCTTTTTGACAAACAAAATGGCACTGAACCGGGCTGCTAGAGGTTCCACCGTGGACTGCTACGAATTTTCCTGAACCGGCTTGCACAACCAATCAAGTCAGCCTCTTGAACTCCATACATTTTCGCGGACTTCCATTGCAATCACCGAACTCTATTTCTCGGTCACACCAATTCGTGCTACACGAACATTGCCGAGCGGAATCGATTCCTGGTCACGTAGGCCCTCATCTGAACAATGAGTGCGAATAAGAAAACACGATGGCGTGATAAAGATAAAGAGAGGGGGAGGAGCGTGAAATCTATATAAACCTGGTCACGTCAAAGCCGGCTTCAGTCCACGGAAAACAGTCATACGAGAAAGATCTATTAATATTTAACACACACAAAGACTTACAAATGTTATTACAAATGTCATACTGACATATTTAAATATAGATATATATCGTCGTTTTTATAATTATAAATATTAAATATATTATATAGATGTTCGTATGATTTAGTTTTTAAAGTTTATATTATATATTCTGTTGTCGCCGGCTATAAGTATATAGAACGAGCGAAAAAGACAGAACATAGTTTCTTGTTGCGATCAGCTGTGATTTTATATAAAATAGTCCAAAGTGTTTGAGCAAAAGAAGATATTGATAGATATTATGGAAGTGTTGTCTGTGAATCAGTTCAATGGGCAGTTCACGTTTGGAAACGGTGTTAAAGGAGGTGAGTCTTTAAATTTTAATTTTTTATCATTTTAAAAAAAATCACTATCTTGTAGTTAGATTACACCGATTTATATTGGTTAGTGCCGGTCTTCTAGCTTTCCAAGATAGTTCATGTAAAAATCTTCAAAACTATCAGACTTGGCTTTTTAACTAGCAGGGGAAAAATATCACATGAAAAAAAATTTTGGTAGTAAAAAAATTAAAAATGTTAAAAATATTAAAAAAGCTAAAAATATTAAAAATGTTGAAATTATCAAAAATGTGATAAATTTGAATGTTAAAAATGTTAAATGTTGAAAATATTTAAAAATATATTTTAATCTGCTAGATAACAAGCAAAATCTGAGTTCACAAAAAATTAGATTTTTTTTTAAAAAAAACTAACAAATTAAAAATTAAAAACTAAGTACCAAAGACCTGTACTAACCAAAAATTCACCATTCAATTCCCCCCTTAAAATTAATTTCAAAACGCCGGTAATTTTTCCTCGACCGTCCCATTTTCAAGTAAAAATCATTTACTATCAGTCATCTATCTACAAGTCCCTACAAGCTTTCCAAGGTAGTTTTTGTTAACTCATCTATATGTATTGTGTATTTTCAATGTGTGTTGGTATATATTAACTGAGTACACTTTCACGACCGGTTTTATCATACTACACCAACACATTGGCCGCCGCGTATAGAAAATACATTTGTGTGTAAAATCAGTAAAACAACAGCCAGCAAAGCGCTTTTGCAATTAAAGAAGTATTGAAAAGTCGGCAAAAGGAAAATAAATGTCAAAAGTCATTGCACTTGATGGAAATAGTAATGGGAGGAAAGAAAGTTATTGGGTTAGTTTGATAATAAGATAATAAGAGTTTTTTTTGTTTTATATAAATTGCTTAGATATGGTTTATAAGAGGGTTTGAGTATGTTTTTTTACAAAAACCGGTTTCGACCAAAAATTGTATCAATAAAAATGCATATGCATATTGGCGAGCGATAACTGCACTCGTTATCAATGCACTTATCCCCGCTCCAAAAGTAGGCTTGTTTGTTTATTAAAAAAAATCTAATCAAACACATCGTGCTAAATTAGTTTGCAAACTAATTATCTCCTCTATATGTCGCCATGGACATATCCATTTATTATCCATGTGTGTGAGAATTTGAATACACAACTTTGTCTATTTACTTCGGTTTGCGTTTGTGTTTGTGCGAACAGATGATTACACATCTGGAAAGTTTGAATGTGTTTGTGCGAGCATTATCATGAAAATATACATGTACATTTTGAAGCCTTGTATAAACCTGAATGTATGTGTTGGAACCGGTTAGGTCTTGTTGCCAAGCGAGAAAGATTTGAGCCTGCGCGCTGGGGAGCTTCTCTTTTGTTTCAACACACACAGAATATAGATACACATTTAGATGTGTTTGATTTTAAAATTGTGCTTCCATTGTTTACTGTTGACTTTGATTTAATACAGCTGCTTTCGATTGATAACACAATTCATTTACATTTTAAATTTGTTTTCGATTTTTTTGAAAATTTTTTTTGGCAGTATCATAGACTTATGATTTTACAACGCTTCAACACTAATCGAGTTTTGGTGTAACTGCAATTAAAATTTTATGGTACGTAACGATCTACATATGCAAAAACAATTTCCTTTATCATCGAGAATCTTATCTCAAATGATTGTCATTTACATCTTCGATCTCTCAGGTCAACAATAACTGCATTGAACCACAATTGATAAGATAGTTACCCGAGTCATTATGATAATGTGCAGTTAGGTTTTGCAATAACTTGAGGCCTTCGCTCCGTTGATATGCCGTCGCAAGCGTCTTTGCTGACTAAGGACTATTGCGTTATGTCTAGCAATTTTAAATTGGGTCTGCACGATTTTAAAAATAAATACATTTTATATATTTTTTTAATAGACACGTGCGTTTTATGGCACGTGCGCGATTATTTGACAGAAATCGAGCAGTCGCAATGATGTAACCCGGTCGGTCGGAAATGATAATGATCGCACCATTTATATAAATTTGACCGATGCAACTTCGCTTATGAAGCAAATTGCTGAGGGGGAATTGAAATACATAACAGATTGCCTTCGCAACTTGAATTCCTAGAAGTAATCATGATCAACAACTAAATGAGTGTTCTTGTTTCCTTTACCAGGTTGGTCTAGTACCGCTCCTCAGCACTCGGAAGAAACAAGCCAGGAAGACTCTCTGAGCACGAATCCTCAGTCCTTCCTGGCCAGGAATTTGGCCAGGGAACTTCGCTCAGCTAAGCAGAACCATCTTGCCTGTTCTGAAGTCCTTCTCCCTAGTGATTTGTTACATCGCGCTGCTAGCGAAATAGTCAAAGCCAGCGAGTGCGAGCCCTGCGGTGTCAGAGGGTGCACGATTTACGTCGAATTCGAACCGTCTTCGGGAAGCAATTCTAGCGCAAATAACTCAAATGATAAGAAATCGCAAAAGAAAGTCATCGCTTGCTTGAGACCGGACGAATCGACGGTGTCCACATTCGAGCTCTATCTGACTCTCAAACAAGAGAACGGATGGACGGATAGGCTGCCCCAGTTTTTGAAGTGAGTATCTTTTTAAATACCACTATCCATTATTCCATTTTCAATTATTCATGATATTAACCTTTGTCTTTTCTTTATTTCCAGAAACCTAACGCGGGGCGGAACGGTCGTGATCAGCCCGGACTTCACACTGAGCAAGACACTGCTCTACCGTTCTTACCGGGACTCGTAAGTTGAAGAAACCATCCAAAAATAATATAAAACAAATTATATTACTTACATCATAAAATATAATACACACGACTGTATCAAGTGTACCTGCGTGCAGCAATTTAAGAAGCGGCACTTAATAAACTCTCGTGTCTAACATGAGGGAATCAAATTTAAAATAACATTAAAAAAAAGCTCAAATGAGTATTGAGAACTCAGATGAGAAGAGCCAGAAGCGCGAAATGAAAAAACTAATATTCATATGATAATATCTGTACGGGTGTGCCGTATTTCATCCATAAAATTCATTTCCACGCGACAACACATCCTATTTATTTATTATGAACGCAACTTTGCACATCACCATTTCTGACATTTTTCTTATAAACTTTCATATCTTTAATTTTATTTTTCCACAAAAGATGCATAGCATTTTGCGAAAATTTAATTAAAACATTTACGGCACACCCTTTCTGTAGGTTAGGATTTTTTAAAAGTGATTTTGTTCTGTGAACAAAACTCAGAATCAACGAGTTTTTGCTAAGATATCAAAAGAGTCGATTTTTTGAAAATAATATTTTCAAAAAATTTAATTGTAATAATGATGATACGTGTGGACACAACACCTTTTTTGTGATAATATTATTATAATTATTATTGACTTTTTAATAATCTCGTTAAAGAGTTTTTGTTGATATATATTAACATTATTAATATCTATACGTGTATATCATATTTTTTCGTCTTCATTTTCTCATCTTCAATTGAAGAAGATAAGTGTAATCATTTTTTTTCGGTAACAGATATGTGTTATTAATTGCTGTAGATTATTGATAAGATTTTTGAGATACGAAAGTTTTAAGAAGAGAAAATAAAAATAAAAATCGATTTATATTATTATATATATTTTATAAAATGCTAATGATAATAATGAATAAAAAAGCAAGCGTGATCTATTTAAAAATAAAAACCTCGGGACTCAACTTTTTCACTTGCCTTGAAAAGTCGAAACTTTTCACCGTTACGTTGTAATTAATAATCGATTATTTTTGAAATTTGGCTATTTTCTAATATTTAAACCGTATTTTTCAAGGCAGGTGCGAAAGCATAAATTGAGTACCCGTTGGCAAAGTATTATTGTTAAGGTTAAGCGTACTAGTGATACAGCTCGAAGCGTGTTTGGCAACATAAAAATTAATAAATTATTTAATTAATTTATTAATTATTATGCACCAAACACGAAATGATACAAAAAACCACAATTTTAGTCGTTAAGCGTCGTGCGAAAGGGGGAGTATAAAAGCGTGTGAATTTTTTAAAAGTTTTCGAATGTGATTGAGAGTGAAGAATTTTGGAATTTTAAAGAAATTCATGTTTTAGCTACAGAATTACATCAGAGTACCAAAAACACGCTGAATCCTGGATTTCTTAAAATTTCAAAATAATATTTTAGCGATAACAGCAACAAATATAAAAATGCGCCCAATACAAAATTAATTCGTATTTTAAAATTTTATGTAAAGCTTTCGTTCGAAATTGGATTGTATGTTTAAAACGAAGTAGTTGAAACATTTACCATATATAAGGACCACCGATAGTTTTTCATATAGGTATAAATATTTAGGAGTTTTGAAATTGATTTGCCGGTTTATACATACAAACTAATTCCGAAAAGGGCTTCAAACTTTCGCAGTTCATGGGCGTAGGTGATATAAAAGCACTGTGTTATATTAAGGGGCAAACTAGCGGTCATTTTCATATAAATTATGAGTTACAATTAAAAATCCATTTCTTAGGTTTTACTCCACTTTAGAGGTCCTATTTGGTTATAACTTATTTCTATGTATTTTTTTTTTTTCAAAATTTTGAACATCCAAATATGAATTTGATATTTTTTGATCTCTACTTTCTCAGGAGAGTTCCAAAGGAATGGGAAAATGACCGCACCCTAAAAATATTTTTTTAATTTTTTTTAACGAAACATTTTATTTACAAATCATTGAAACAACATATTCGTAGCGATTTAGTAGACGTATTAGTGTCGAAGTAATTCTCTAATTTTTCGGTGTATGATCTAATTGTATTAACTCTGTAATGTGTATGTTCGCTTATGCATTACTATTTTAAAATCATCATAAAACATAAAATAGATTTTAACGAAGTTTTGACGAGTTCAACCATGTTTTAACGTAATTTTAATTTATTGTATAATTTTATCTACGCATATAATATATATTAATAGATGTATAGGATTTAAAACAAAAAGATCTCGATTTTATTAGTACTCTGTCTTAGATTTCAAATATTTTGCGTACAATAAATGTTATAATTTTGTATATATTTCTTTCTCTTGTAATATTTAAGTTTTTTCTCTCTAGGATTTTAAGTGATGAACGTATATATGAATATATAAAATTATATTAGAGTATAACAAGTTATACACAGACAAAAGTGTTGTGTAACTTTCAATGTCAAATTACTGTGTACTAATTTTTACAAAATATATCAAATGCATATAAGCGGTTAGAAGATATACGTGAAAACAATAAAAAAGTGACCGAAGATGATACTATCCTTTACTACGATTATTGTAAAAATAAAAAATCAGAAATTTTTGGTTTATATTGAAACTATGGATTGTGCATTTAATGCTTATCTAAAAAAGGTTTGAACAAAAATAGTGATTCTAGACTTATATAAATTTGGCTGTGTTGTGGTTTCCATCATATTTAACCTTGATTTAATTAAGCAACAGAATTAGAAGCAAACAATGCACAGTCCCTGGCTAAAATATAAACTGAGTTTTGTAAAAAATAACACTTTCAATCAGTATTCAATAATTAATAATAAAAATATATAAGTAATCGTATGTACAAGTAAGAGGAATTATCTGGTCATTTTCGGTCCAAATGAAAAAAAAATCTTTTTATCTACTTATAAGAAACAAAAAATATACATATGACAAGAAACTTTACAAAAAAAATATTAAGGAAACAATTTCTAGCGAGTTGCTGTTAGTGATCACCAACGTATTTGTGCAAAATATTTCAAAATCACCATTTTTTTTTAATATTTTGCACACTTACGAAGGAAAAACACGAATTTTGGTGTCTATAACCTTCTATAATAAAGGCTCGTTTCACATTAGATTAAACAATTTACTACATTTCGGTCTATATGCTGTATTCACCATAAAAATTAATTTCAACTTTGTCCAAATTTTATTCGGCACCAAAATTTTTTCATGTGTTTTCTTTTATCGCTGTAGATATATTTGTGAAATTATTGAAATGAAACTTTTTGGCCTGAGGAACGATGTGAATTTGATATGATTAGTTTTACAAAAATCGAAAAATATTATATATACATAACATTTATTAATAATTACTGTGTATAATGTTCTTTGTATTACTTGTGATAATAATTAATAGAAGAGAGATTTGAAAAAATATCATGTGAAAAAATTAATAAAAAACAAAAATTATATATATATTATACTTTAATCGCAATAAAAGATTACATTTTTTATATGGAAAAATTACATGTGTGTTTTATTTTATTTTAAGTATTTTTTAATTAACTCAAGCATTTTTAAATATTTTTGTTTTTCATGAAACAAAATATGTTTTATTTAAAATTCACTCACTGCAAGAATTTAAATACAAGAATTTGAACAATAATGATAAACAACTCAATTTAAAAGTATTAACAACAAAAAGTGAGAATAATATTCTAACAAGGTTAGTTGCTTTGTGTAACAATTTAAATTTCAGCTAATTTTTTTATGTAAATTTTAAACCAGTTTTGTGTCGTCCTAATAGAGCCCATGACGAGTATATCCGTCAGGCTCAGAGTAAGTTGCGTTGGTAAAATATTGGTTAAAAAATATAGGTTTATTTTACAAATTTATAAAAAATATTACTATTTTTTACTTTTCTGGTTAACACAAGCATATATTACTTACTATTAAACCTGTGGTTCCCAATCAGTGGGTCGCGATTCCTCAGGAGAGCGTACAGCTGCTTTCAAAACAATATTTCCTAAAAACAATACCAAAAATGTTGAAATAATGTAAAAAATGAATGAAATAATAAATAATTATTTTTATGTATATTTTGACATAATATTTTATATTGGTTTGTAGACTGATAAATGAATTATGCTATAATAATAGTTCAGTATTCGTAAAGTTAGATTGTTAGAAAAATTATGGGAGGCGTAGTATTATTTTATCAAAAAATGGGGAGCGTGGTACGAAAAGGTTAGAAACCACTGCATATATTATCCTTCGTATTAAACCCGTGGTTCCCAATCAGTGGGAGCGCACAACCCCTCAGGAGAGCGTACAGCTGCTTTCAAAATAATATTTCAGAAAAATAAATCAAAAATGTTGAAATAATGTAAAAAAAATAATGGAATGATAAATAATTATTTTTATATATATTTTGTTGCCTGAATATCAGTTGAGTATTTATAAAATTAGATTGTTGGAAAAATTAAGGGAAATTAGATATATTCTGTTATATTTTATACTGAACACCGGTGACGTGCACTCTTAAATAAATTACATTATTATATTATTTTAAATATATTTAAAATACAAACTAGAATAAAATGTGTTAAATAAATTTAATTACATTATTAATTACATGTGCTATAAGTGTGTTCAAAAATTATTAATTGGTTATCGCATTGATTAGTTTTTAGTAAAAGAAAAAAAATCGAAATAAGCAGTTTAAATTTTATTTAAATAGCTGAATCTTAATTTTTATCGATTAAGTATATTATTTTCACATTACGGAAAGTAAAATTTACCTAAAGGTAAAATGCCACTTGCAACTACGGGGTCCGCCATCTAACTTTTTTTAAAACTCTGTTCTAAAACTTAAGAGTTTTTCTTCTTGTTTACATTATTTTTTCAAAATTATTTTTCATTATTAACCAGAAAGATTTCACTTTCAAACGAAAAAGAAACTTAAGAAAATATTGACTGGTTTTTTTATAGCATTTTCAAAAAAAAAAAAAAAATTGGCAGACCCTTCATTTATTTTCATAACCATAGCCTCAAAATATTCAAAGCAACTTGACATTTAGGGTTTTTTCAAAAATTGTGATTTTAATTGCAAATGGTCATTGTTTTATATGCATGACGAACATACTCGTCAATGCACAAAATTCTGTCGCTTCTCCATGA